AGAATTACTGTTGCCAAACCTGATCCTCACGTGGATGACTTGACCGTAACGAAAACTATGTTTGTGTTTGAAGAAATGTATATTTTTATCGAACGTGAGATCATTTTTAAAAAAGAGAAAAGAGATGATGCGATCGAAGTCGTTTCCCTTTTGCCTTATGCCAAGCTAGCAAGACACATAAGGACTTTTCTCCAGTTGGATTAGAAGTGAGCGGATGGGGGGAGAGAAGGTGAGAAACGGAGTTGTCTCTTGAAAGTTAGAAATTTATCTTTAATGTGAAATTATTATGGAAGACGATACTAACAGTTTACTAGAAGAAGAAACAACAATCTCGATTTCTCTAATAAGATTAAGTGCAATCGTAAAAATGACGACGACGTTAGGCAAAACCCTAGCTTTAGTTAAGGATTTATTGTATTATATTATATTGTAAATGTGAACATTTGATAAATCAAATTGACTTGATTATTATTAATCAATATTGATATATAATTAATCAATTATTTAGAAAAATAATTTTAAATAGTTTAAAGATCAATTAATTATTTCATCGATTAAAGTAATTGGTTATTTAAATGATCGAATTAATAAATAATCAACATATTAATTATCATTTAATTCAATAATAATAAATGTTCTTTTAGACAAATAAAGAAAGTAAGTAAAAATCATATATATAGTAAAAATAAATTGTAATTATTATATTATTATTATAAATTATTAGTTTTACATTTAAATGTAAAACTCACCCTCGGAACGAGCAGTAACTGTAACAGTCAAGAGCACAATGCTAAATAGAAGGAGTTTTGTAAACAAAAGCTGCCACATATCTTCGCCCATCTGTTTGAATTCTCTCCTTAAACAAGGTCACTGTAACTTCTTTATATAGCGAGTACTACGATAAATATATATATATTCACTTTCATCAAAACCAACCCCCACGTGACCACGTTGTCGATTCCATGGAGTATCACACAAATATTAAGTTCAAATCTTATCTTTACTTCTTCTTCTTCTTCTTCTTCTTTTTTTCTTCTTCTTTTTTTATGCGTCTTCTATTATCAATAATAGAAGATAAAAGTTTATACGCGGTGTAATTATAGAAAAAAATATATAATGATCAATGAACGCAACGAAAGAAGCTACAATAGCAATAAGAAAAGATACAATCTAAAGAATGATCTTGGACAATGATCGATAGTTTCACCTAGTTAACGGAGAACGGTCGCGAGTTTATCCGTAACTCGACTCACCGAGTAGACGACCGATTGACGTTTCTCTGAGTGCGTAACTTTGTCTGTGTCTCGGTGAGTACTGAAGGAGAACCAAGGCCCACCGGGTGTTGGGAACTGGAGAAAGGTGTATATCCAGCGAGAGGTCGAGTACGAACAGAGAAAGAAAGAAAAAGAGAGGGAGAGAAAGAGAAAGGGAGGGAGGACAGATGAAAGGGGGTATGAAGGGGGAGGGGGGGGTCAAGAAATACGTTGAAAGAAAGACAAAAACAGATAAAGATAATTAGGGGGAAAAAAAAAGAGAGAGAGAGAGACAGACAGAGAGAGTAAACAGAAAGAAAGAAAAAAACAGATGGATAAATAGTTAGATAGATAGACGGATGATCAGATGGATAGATAAACCGGAGAAAGATAAAAAGAATAGGTTGAATATGAGGCTAGATTCGAATCAGGATTCTCTGAGAATAATTCCTCATCCCTTCCCCACTTCTTCTTCTTCTTCTTCTCGTTCTGTTTTCCGTCTATTTGGCTTGTTTCTCTCTACTTTTCTCGGCTGACTGGTCATAGACTCGGTACCTAATACATACTACATCGGGGTCCATAGCTTGCAAAGACTTCTTTCTGCAACTTCGACCCAGACTCGAGGATCTCGTAGCCGCCTTATTTCCGAGCTGGAAGCGTGAGGTTGGATAAGAGAGAGAGAAAGAGACAGATCCGGCTTTACGTACCTCAGCTTCGGTGTATTTTCTGTCGCCTCTTGCTTTGCCTTGTCTTGTCTTGTCTTGTCTTGTCTTGTCTTGACTTGACTTGACTTGGCGTGGCTTGGCTTGGCTTGACTTGCCTTTTATTGCTCTTGTACTGCTGTCTGTGGGGCACTGATATTCGGAAAACTGTACTTCTTGTCCACCCGTTATATGTTGCACCGAATGACCGGTCTATTCCTATATATACGGGTCTGCGGGTCTTTTCGAAGACAAACTGAAAAAAAAAGAAATAATTATCTTAGAAGTCTAACTTACTTTGACGCGGGATGATAAAAAATCAAACAAATGGGACTGAACTTTTTTTACTTTTGGATAACGAATCAGCATTTCGTTTTCTACGTACTTTCTGAGGTAAGAGAGAGATTAACTTTCGCTTATCGAAATTGTTTATATCTCAAGACGCGAAACTTTTTTTTCCCTAATTTATTATTTTTACTTATTTAATTGTAATAGGTTCTTAAAAGATTTGCTAATTAGTTTTTGCAACACCAAGTTCAATTTATTTAGTCCCATTTTTTGTTATATAATCTACGTAGTCTTAGATTATTCTTACCCCGTTCAATTATTCCGTCTACGTATCATAAGCCGAGAGATAGACGTGTACTTATGTTAGATAAAATTTCAGTCGACTTTATAAAATTCTGACGTTACGTGTTTAATAGCAATTGTCTTTTCGACGTGTAGAAGATAACAAAAAGTACAAAAAATTTTAATGCAATACTAAAGTATTTAATAAAAATTATTATAGAAATATAATCAAATAATGTGTTTACCATTAATTACATCGTTGCAACATCTATATATGGATCTAATATCTTTTACCGAGTCTTGACCTACTATCATACTGTTATATTTGATCCAATTCCATTCTCTTTGCTGATATTAATACATTTACTGATCTTGACTCAATATACATATACTTTCTCATTTCCTGAATTATATATATATATAGACATCTCTGTTTCCTCCTACAATTCGTATATTTAACTATTTATTGCAAAAACATTGCCTAATTAATGAATGCACATAATTGTACATTGTTCACTTAAAAAATAAGTATATATATGTTCTTTATTAGAATTGTAATAAAATAAATTGAGCATATTTTCTAAAATAAAACTCGGTTATTACTACGTAAACACCTGTTGTTCGAGACTCAATGAAGTTCGGCCGTTTGGTGGGGGAGAGAAACCGTTCTGGAAGCAAGCTGTGATTCTTTAACAGTAGTGGTAAATACACAAGACGCCAAAGGTAAAGAAAGAGGAGAAGGAAAAAGAGGAAAAGGAGGAGAAGGAGGTATCATAGATGTCGACCCGAGGACCTACATTCGCCATCATTGCAAGAGATGCCTCGGATACCGTGGACACATTTACGCATACATATACCACCTACATATATATATATATATATATATATATATATATATATATAATTATATACATTACATATTACATACACAGATAGATACATATACACGTGTTTAATTCCTCCTAAGCTTACTAAATTCAAACTCTAGCGTGCGTCTTCGTTTTCTTAAGGTAATCGTGTCTTAGTACGGTCACCGACAGCCTTAGTGTGTCGTTTTCGAATTCCATCGTTGAGATTCCACTGGAGAAAATAATCCTTTCCCCTTCCAAATTTCTGCTACGTAGACGATGATCCTCTCTTTATAGGAATATATAAAGAGAAATTAGTAAAATGCAACAAAAAAGGAATAAAGAAAAAGAATAATCATCATATTTAAAACATAAAGAGTAAAAATGGAAAGTGGTAGACTCCGTCGTTAGCGGGACTAAATATGGCCGTCTCTAACTTAAAAAATGTGGATCTTCCACGCAGGTAGAATTCTTGGTAAAGCTCTTACAAGATAACTCATAATACTAATGGTCACGACGTTTGCAAACTCTTAAAAAGAAGGGGTGGTAAAATATTTTTTATATTCATTTATTCATATTTATTAAATAAGAGAAACAAAATGCAACAGAGTATATATTTGAAAACTAATCTTTCTCTCTCTCTCTCGCATTTTCTTCTTTTTTATATGAAATTTTTATAGAATTCTCGATTATTTTTATCGGGTAACACATTTGTACTTTTATTATCGTATTTTGTTTTTAAAATATTATTGTTAATAAAAATAATAAACTTGAATATATATTTACGTACCTTTTTTAACAAAATTTGAATTCCAACTTCGGTAGAAGATAAAATGAAATGGATTGAAAAAAAATGTTTTATTATAATAATTTTAAAATAAAAATTACCTCTATATAATAACAAAGTATTAAATACTTTTAACTTCACATCAATATATGTATATATATCATTATATTTATAAATTTTTCATACTTCTTAAATATTGAACGCACCATTCAACCGATAACGCGTTCAGAAAAACTAAACGTTTTTTTGGCGGCCATTTTCCGTAAATATATAATAAGATAAGAAATGTTTATATATATATATATATATATATATATCTAACAATAATGATTGCCCATTACCTTTGATATTAAAATGTAAAAAAGAAAAACGTATTTAAATTACGGGCTGCATTATGTAAAAAATATTTCTTTTCCTTCTGACACGTTTGTTTTCATTTATTTAAAATCATACCATATCTTAGAGTTTAACCTAT